ACATAACCCTAATTATCAAGGTCAATATCACAGGTAACCTTCACTTCATTGTGTGGTGGACATAACCCTAATTATCAAGGTCAATATCACGGGTAACCTTCACATCATTGTGTGGGGGACATAACCCTAATTATCAAGGTAAATATCACAGGTAACCTTCACATCATTGTGTGGTGGACATAACCCTAATTATCAAGGTCAATATCACGGGTAACCTTCACATCATTGTGTGGTGATGGACATATTAATTATCAAGGTAAATATCACGGGTAACCTTCACACCATTGTGTGGTGATGGACATATTAACTCCACTGGTAAATATCACAGGTAACCTTCACAACATGGTGTGGTGATGGACATATTAACTATCAAGGTAAATATCACAGGTAACCTTCATACCATTGTGTGGTGATGGACATATTAATTATCAAGGTAAATATCACAGGTAACCTTCACACCATTGTGTGGTGATGGACATATTAACTCCACTGGTAAATATCACAGGTAACCTTCACAACATGGTGTGGTGATGGACATATTAACTATCAAGGTAAATATCACAGGTAACCTTTATACCATTGTGTGGTGGACATATTAACTCCAAAGGTAAATATCACAGGTAACCTTCACACCATTGTGTGCTCGACATAACCCTAATTATCAAGGTAAATACCACAGACAACTCCATCTCCAACTCTCTAGAACACAATTGTCTCCTCACTCAATCTACATATTCTCTCTGCGATAAAAAACACACATTGCTAGCTACTCTATCAAAACGAACAAGGCTTTAAGTTCTTCATGTTTTGAAAATAAAGACTCAGATCTTTTAAGAAATTCTAAGTATGAAAATTGGCCTGTTTATTGAAAATTTTGCCACATATCACTGATATATGATTTGTGTTTGTTTCAGAATTTGCTAAAGTGTTACTTTCCAAGTGATGGCCATCTCTAAAAGCTTAAAATTTTTATTGACAATTCAATGTTTTGTTTTTCTACATTAAACATTAAATAATTATTTGTTCTGCGTCTTAATCGTCAGTTGAACAACAGAAGAAAGACTGGATGTCTGTTGAACGTTGATATCGCCACACCTCCAGACACAATATATGTTCTATTTATAGTTTCATTGGCCTTGACCTATAAACCCTTTAAAGCAAACTTGTGATCAACGATTGTTTACTTTACAATGAGAAACAAGAAGTCCATTGATCTGCATTTCTCACTGGCTATTGTACATTGTAACACGTTTGACCTCTGTGGTCTTTCATGTGGATCAAAGTGATTCCCTTCAAACTTGAAATTCAGGATTCCACTGACCTGTTACAATGTCCATAGGTCGGGGATGCTTTTGACCACATATCGCAATTATAAGTCCAGAATGCCACCGATCAGTTATCATGTCCCTAGGTCGGGGATGCTTTTAACCAGATATTGCGGTTATAAGTCCAGAATGCCACCAACCAGTTATCATGTCCCTAGGTCGCGGATGCTTTTAACCAGATATTGTGGTTATAAGTCCAGAATGGCACTGACCAGTTATCATGTCCCTAGGTCGCGGATGCTTTTAACCAGATACTGTGGTTATAAGTCCAGAATGCCACTGACCAGTTATCATGGCCCTAGGTCGGGGATGCTTTTGACACATATCGCAATTCTAATTCCAGAATGCCACCAACCAGTTATCATGTCCTTAGGTCGGGGATGCTTTTAACCAGATATTGTGGTTATAAGTCCAGAATGCCACCAACCAGTTATCTTGTCCTTAGGTCGGGGATGTTTTTAACCAGATATTGTGGTTATAAGTCCAGAATGGCACTGACCAGTTATCATGTCCCTAGGTCGGGGATGCTTTTGACCACATATCGCAATTCTAATTCCAGAATGCCACCGACCAGTTATCATGTCATTAGGTCGGGAATGCTTTTGACCACATATCGCAATTCTAATTCCAGAATGTCACCAACCAGTTATCATGTCTCTAGGTCGGGAATGATTTTGACCACATATCGCAATTCTAATTCCAGAATGTCACCAACCAGTTATCATGTCTCTAGGTCGGGAATGCTTTTAACCAGATATTGTGGTTATAAGTCCAGAATGGCACTGACCAGTTGGTCATAGGTCGGGGAAGCTTTTGTCCAGATATCGCAATTCTAAGTCCAAAATGCCTCTGACCAGAAATCTTTTTACAGTTCTGTACTGCTTATTTTGTATCTCCTAATTTAAAAGTAAAGCTTCTTTTTACACATCTGTTCTGCCTATTTTATATTTCCTAATAAAAATATGTAGCGTCTTTTTTACACTTCTGTACTGCCTTTTAAGATCTATTAATAAAAAAATAAAGTTTCTCTTTAAAGAGAAAAAAGTAACCCTATTGGTGTGCCGTGTGGTCACATGACCGTTCTGGCCAGGTAGGGTAAACATGAAACGGAGGATACGGACGATCTATATATGTATATCATGGTTATGACGTTATGTAAAAAAATCACAGAAAAAATGAAATATACCTCAATGAGGTATCTGTAACCTTCATAAGACTTCTTTGTGCAAATTGTTCGTCAATGTGCATATGCAGAATTAGTATGGTGCAATGGTATAATAGATATATCCTTTACGCATTAGTTTTAGACCCCTAAAAACAATTTGTTGCTCGCAAAATGTACGCTATGTCAATGAACTGCCACCAAACAAATGCACAATTAATTCAAATGTGTTGAATTATTCAATTAAACGTATTTTATTGCAAAAATTATTACAACACGATTAGGTACAAGTTATTACAACTTATGAAACACCCTTTCCCCAATATATAACAAAATATAATTAGACAACGCAATAGCCATATGGCAACAAATACACTAACTACATATTTTTGGAGAGAGAGAGAGAGAGAGAGAGAGAGAGAGAGAGAGAGAGGAGGAGGAGGATTGAGGGGGTAGTTTTGGCGTTCATACTATATAATTTATTCAAATTTAAATTTGCGTTTCTGATCACATTACTTAATCACAGAGACGCTAGCTTACAGTGATCCAGAAGTACACGTGTATTACAGAAAATCATCATTTGAACGGGAATGACATTCTGATGACAGAAAAAAATCAAAGTAAAATAATTGTGCGAAAATGGTGAATATTTGTGTTTGATGTGTGCACCTTTTCTTAAGAGTTGGATTCAAGGTTTTATGGTTTTTTTTCCTGAAATATACGTTATTTCTTGGCAAACTTCTTTTCTTATAACACAAACTTCACACATTTAAATGAAGTTAATTTTTCATCGGTCGCTCTGCAATTTCGCGGTTAATTCAAATTGAAAATCAGTCACTAACACTGGCAACTTAAAAATCACCAGTTTTTCAATATAAGACGTCCTCGTTAAGAGTTTCGTAACAAGAAATTGCAAGAAGACGTGACCTGATATACCTAATGGATTTTCACTGAGCAGACGACGGCAAAACACCGCCATTCGAGGCCAGGCTGATTGGTTATTTCATCATATCTGGGAGTAGGTTTGACATGTAAAAATGTGCATTAAGAAAAAGAACACAAATTTGAAGAAAAAAAATGAATAAATAAATTTACGGTGGATGGTTATAAACACAAATTTTCATTCTTTCTGGAAGCCAACTTTGTTACAGCAACCAAAATTGTCCAGGTGCGAGGTCGAGCAGTTAAATACTCAAAAGTTCAAGTGATACGGTTCGACAAATCAGAAATGCCTGACGATCTGGAACCGATGTCTAGACGATAAATAGACTCTGTAATTGTGACACTAGTTTTTCTTTATTTGATAATCTAAAACTTGCCAATTTTCTTGGTAGGCCGGGAAGATTTGATTCTTTGTCTGTCTGTCTCTCTCTCCGAATCCTTGATTTCACTGTAACTCACAGTGTGTTTCATCAGCTTGTTGGTTACTATTAATGGTTCATGCCATCACGTGACCTCAATTGTAAATATGTTGTGAATGGTATTTGTAGAAGTCTAAATGAACATACTCACTAATCCTTTTGTCATAATATATATCAATAAAATATATTGAAACTAAACTAAAACTAAAGAAAATATGGAAAATAAATGGAGGTATAGGACACAATTTCAGCTAATAGAAATGTGCGCTTCTTCTAAGTCGCAATCCTGATTCCGCGCCTGCAAATGGTGCTCGTGTTATTTTAATAGCATCTTCCGCAATTACTGATAGGGAAATCAGATTTCTATGTAAGTGACTCAAGTGACACCTTTGTTAATGTATTTAAAGTCATGAAAACAAGTTGATTAAATCCACACTCCTTCAAATTTGATTGAAGTTCCGATGATGATATTGAACAACAAAAATGTGGACAGATAATTTGTGTTTTCTATACCTTTCGAGAGGAATAACCAGCATTACATAGTCCTCTGGATTAAATTGAATTAAGGTTAAACAGATTTCGTATATTGAAACGAACTATTTTTTGCTTTTCTTCAATAGGTCAGAATGGTGATGTGTGTAATTATTAACTTCAAATTGACTATGTGACAACATCCATTATGTGAAGTTTCACCGTTGAACAATTTATCAATCAACCAAGAACTGTGGAAAATACATTTTTCACGGTTATTTAATTTCGATAGTCCAGTGCTGTTGAAATAATTAGGTAAACCTACATTTTAGTTGGTGTTGCAATACTATTGACCATTTTCCCAAAGTTTGATTTGCGCGAGATTATGTAATACTTTCAGTGCCTGGCTGATTTCGAATTCGTAAGTGGACTAAACGAAACAAGGAATTAATCTTATTTTAATTTCTGAAATGATTCAAACAACTATTTTTTTAACTTCCGTGAGATGCTTGACAGACAAGGTCCGTGCTCCAACAATCCAACGGGTTTCCTGTCAATTGTGCACTTGTTATGATAATAGTGTTGTGATACCATTGATTAAGCAGTGTCAACAGCGGTTATCTTTCTTGGCTTCACTTTGTTTATATGTAGTATATATAGCTGGTCGACTTCAAGATGTCGACCTAATGGCGATGATGTTAGCTACAATTTGAACCGTCTTTGCCGTACGTTAGATCTATAGATGGTACGTTAAATTAACGTCATGCTTGGGTTTCAACAGACCTTTATCACTTGTCAGCAGTTCTTGTTGAATCTTGTTACATTGTGACTCCGCCCACTCAACATAAAATGAAATGCTGATAAAAGCAACTTCAGGTAGGCCTATTTCACCATGTTTCTTGTGAGAGGAGGATCAGTTGTTATACCAGTAGCGAACCCAAATACACGTCGATAGAGGTAACACACACTACATTCTTTCTAACTATATGTTTGAAATAATGCTACTAAATCGAGATTACGAGAAAATAGTCGATTACAAAAGCTCGCCACCTGCGTTAGTCATAGCTTCTTGTGTGCTGTCACATTTTGTAACAACAAAAGGGCATACATGTACACTCCCTACACATGTCATTTAGTTCGATTTGACGTGTCTGGTTGTTTACAAATTACCTATATAAAATCCGCACTTTTTTAAGAGCCCTCCAACATAACAGAGTTATCTCTCTTTATACGTGTAAAAATTATAAAATGTTCTCGCTGGGAAATCCAGAAAGCACCGTTTAACTAAAAAATAAAATGACTGGAAATAATGAGATCTAATGAATCCATACGTAAAAAAAAATTTTTCTTTAATATTTTTTTTTATTTATAATGACAAATAATGTTAATATAACATGTCTTGTGTTGTGGCAGGGTTGTGAAAATGTGACACCATATCAAGTTGTTATCATCATAAATAAGTTGCTACAACAATTTTTCATGTTACTTTTATTTTTTTATTTTCTTGCAGAGAGAGGTTTCAATTGAAACTATATAAAAACATGGCAGCTGAAAGATTAGATATAGACTCTAAGGCAGATTTAGTTACCCAGGAGTCAAGCGAGGAGCCCCCTTCTAAACGCCCTCGATTTGAAATTGAGGAAGGTAGCAGTAACCAGACATCAGATTTCACAGGTGATGGTGATGTTCATAGCCTGAAACGATCAGATACTGTCGAGTATGATTTGGTGGGAGTGCTAGAAAGTAAAAATGGTGTGCAAGAGGAGGTCAAAGCGGGGTCAGGGATCACAGGTGGTTCTACCCTGAATGGTACTCAGGAGTACAATCTTGAAGGGAAAACAACAGAAAAAAGCAATGGTAATGATGACATCACAAAGGGGTCACAGGTCATGGATGATTCTACCGTCTGTGGTACACAGGAGTATAATTTAGAGGATGTAGAAAAGAATTATGGAACTGATGAGGTCACTGAGGGGTCAGAGGTTGTGAACCATTCTGACCCCAGTGGTACACAGGAATATAATTTAGAGGCTACTAACAGAAAAAATGATGGAACAAATGAGGTCTCAGGAGAGTCAGGGGTCAAAGATAATGCTTCTATCAGTGTTACACAAGAGTATGTTTTAGAAGCAGAAAATGAACAGAAAAATATTGATGCTCAGGAGGTCAAAGAAGAATCAGGGATCAAAGATAATGCTTCTATCAGTGTTCCACAAGAGTATGATTTAGAAGCAGAAAATGAACAGAAAAATATTGATGCTCAGGAGGTCACAGAAGAATCAGGTATCAAAGATAATGCTTCTATCAGTGTTCCACAAGAGTATGATTTAGAAGCAGAAAATGAACAGAAAAATATTGATGCTCAGGAGGTCACAGAAGAATAATGCTTCTATCAGTGTTCCACAAGAGTATGATTTAGAAGCAGAAAATGAACAGAAAAATATTGATGCTCAGGAGGTCACAGAAAGGTCAGCAACAGAAAATGTGATCACTGAGGAAAACACAAATGACTTACCTGTTGTGCCTACCCTTACAAAAATCCCATCTGTGTTGCAGGATGCTGAACTCATAGCAGGTATTGTTGACGGGGTTGATGCTGATGTGATTTATAACAAACTAAAGGAACACAGAGGAAACCCTGACCGTGTCAATTTGGTGACCAATGAAATTCTGGAGGAAGCTGGGCATGCTTTGACTTCCTCATCAACACAACAGCAGCTGGGCCAGACTCCATCATCCTTCATGGAGGATTTTGTTTCCGTGATTGACAAGTCCATGGCTAACATGTCTGCCCTGCCTCTGTCAGCCAATGAAATTCACCAGTTGTTACTTTCTGAGGGAGAACGATTGGACAGGGTAGACAGAGTGGTCAGCAAATTACTGACCAAGCATTACAGTTCATTACTGACCACTCGTGAAGATTTTGCAGCAGATGTCCAGAGAGTTATTGAAGTCTTGCCAGGGGCTAACCCCAACGAAGTATTTAGGTTGTTACAAGAAAGAGAGAACCAGGCCAATAGGATAGATCTAGTGGTAAATTTTCTGCAAAGTCGATCTGTTACACGATTGGCCAGGGTGGAGACGCTGCCTGATGACCCCGCCCTCCATCGTGACCCGCTCTACAGAGACATGAGAATAGTTGCTAAAGTGTTACCAGATGTCAACCCAAACGAGATATATGCTTATCTAGAGGCCCACAACCATCAGAAGAATCGCATCCAGTTGGTGATTGAGGAGTTGATGAGAATTGTACCGACCAGCACCCCTAGTATTGGAAGCAGCAATGCAAGCTCACTAGATGATACAGTTCCTATGGGAAAGAGGATTGCTTACAATATCGGTGATGAGGTGGATGAGCTGAAGGGAGTCTTTCCGGACTGTGATCCTACATATCTTTATAATGAGTTAGAGAAACGACAAGATGATAAAGATCGTGTAAAAAACCTAGCATGGGCCATGTTTGAAAACAAGGATTATCCCAAATACGCAGAGGTAATGAAAGAGAAGGAAAAACTCACCATAAAGGAACGAATTGAAAATATGACATTTGATTTGAAGGACTTCTTATCAAGGTTTCCAGACCCATGCAGTACATTTGAAGAAAGCAACAAGCTGATGGGTGAAAACTACCGACAACATGTGCAGGCACAGATCAGAAATGACTTCAGAGAACTAAAGACAGGATTTCTTTTATATATTACGACAAAAAACAAATTCCATTATACTGCTAGCAAAAAGGAAATACAGGAAAGGATTAAAGATCTGCCAGGTAGGTTGCTTTAAATAAGGGACGGATAAACTCAGGTATTGTCTAGTTACTGTTATATAATCTGTATTTATTGTCAGGATTGACAAGTTACATTCCGGACACAAATGTTAGAATATGTGATACACAGGTGAGAAGTTTTGATATCACAGACACAGCTAACATATTATGTTTATACTTCTTTAATATTTTAGTGATTTATTGTAAAGTTATAGACATGGAAACTGTATATCATATATAGATAAACTTTGCAAGCAATTTATTTAAACAGTAGGATCCAATAGTATAGTGTGTTGTTTTTTTTTCTTTTGCAATTTATTTGTTTGTTTGTTTTTTTTTAATTTTTGTTTTAATTCTAATTTTTATGAAACAATACATGTGAAATAATTGATTTCCTTTTCTTGGGTATCCACATTCTTAAAACTTCTTCCTGGTGTTAACTTTACTAGATATCAGGGCATTCAGGTGACCCTTGACATCTGTCAATTTCAGAAATCAACTTTCAGGGGTCAAAAGGAATATGAAATTTACAATCTTTTTAAAGCCAACAGTCAAAGCACATATTTGGGATTCAGACACATACTGACACACTTTTGGGAGCCAAAAGCATACTCACAAAGGTCTTCTGAATACCATGGATGTGACATCTTTCTAAATCCTTTGTTCATGCAAACTTGCACATAACATTTACTTAATCAATTAGGAGATAATCAAGTGATGGCTGGGGAGTTGGAGAAATGTTTCCTCTCACCAATTCCATAACAATATTCTGGCTTGATTTATAAAAAGAGGTGGACAAAGTTATGTTACAGTTGCCACTAGGGTTTTCCCCATACCATCAGGGCTAAGTCAATTGACCATTGCATTGAAAATGTAGATATTCACAGCCTCATTACCTTGCATACAATTGCTGGGTATGAAGAGATGAACACACTTATGGTTTGTACCTTGGAGTAAATGTTTTTAATTAACTCAAATGACTTATTTTGTTAGTGACTTTTCTAATCATAGATGTTTTCTGTTAGATTGACTGATCAAACGTTTTAAAGAATGAGGATTTAACAATAAAAGTGTATATCTGCAAATATCTGGAATGTAAGTCTTTCTGGTCATTAAGTCAAAATTGGTTTAGAAACACAAAAATACTGCACCTTGATTGCTGGTTGTAACTATATATCTGTGTGGTTATATGTCATTTCAGAAGAATCCAGGAAGTATAAACAAGTGCCCAGACAGGAGGAGCCACTGCCTGAAGAACCTGATGAGTTTTTCTTTTACGAAAAAATGTTTGTGGCTCACAAAGATGAAATTCTAGGTGAGTTTCAGAACTTATCCTAGGTGTGGTTTAGCTTTTCTTTGATAGGTAATTGAAATGTTTTTATTGTTACATCATTGCAGCATAGTGGTGTGGTCTTGTCTTTTTCACTGATCCTTCTGTCCACCCAGACAACATATTGATTTGACTTTGTACTGGAAGTACAACAGTCAGCAAATTAAACTTAACATACAGATGAATACAATGACAGCTTGTGTATCAAATGTTGATCTATGCATGTAAAATCCATGGTTTTTAAATCCCATATATAAATCATACCCTCTTTCATCACCATGCAAGAATATATAAGTACATAATCAAAAGCTATAAATACAAACATGACTTGCAAATAAAAGGAGTAGCCATTTTATCATCATTTCTACCAGAACCACATGGACAGTTAAGTAATGTTATGATTTTCATTTATTAGATCATCAAGAAGAGGAAAAGAAACTCAAAGAATTAAAGCGATTGCAAGCTAAAGAAAATGAAGAACTTCTTGAATGTGGTTGTTGTTATGACGATGAGTGCTTAATTGAGGATATGGCATCTTGTCAGGATGGCCATCTTTTCTGCAAGGACTGTATAAAAAGGTCATCAGAGGTTGCCATTGGAGATGGACAGTGTGTCTTTCCTTGTTTCACAGATAATTGTGATTTTCAGTTCCCACTTCCTGTACTACAGGCTGTCATGTCTCCAAACATGTTCTCCATCTTGTTGAGGAGAATGCAGGAAGAGGAGGTCAAACAGGCAGCCATACCAGACCTGGTCAGCTGTCCTTTCTGTAGCTTTGCTACCATCATCTCTAATCCTAATGATAAAGTTTTCAAGTGTCTTAATCCTGAGTGTCTAAAGGAATCCTGTAGGTAAGTGTCTTAATTCCCGAGTGTCTAAAGGAATCCTGTAGTTAATTGTCTTAATCCAGAGCACTGAAAGGAATCCTGTAGGTAAGTGTCTTAATCCTGAGTGTCTAAAGTAATCCTGTAGGTAAGTGTCTTAATCCTGAGTGTCTAAATGAATCCTGTAGGTAAGTGTCTTATTTCCCGAGTGTCTAAAGGAATCCTGTAGTTAATTGTCTTAATCCAGAGCACTGAAAGGAATCTGTAGGTAAGTGTCTTAACCCAGGGCGTCTAAAGGAATCCTGTAGTTAATCGTCTTAATCCAGAGCACTGAAAGGAATCATGTAGTTAAGTGTCTTAATCCAGAGCACTGAAAGGAATCATGTAGTTAAGTGTCTTAGTCCAGAGTGTCTAAAGGAATCCTGCAGGTAAGTGTCTTAATCCAAAGTGTTAACGTGAATCTTATAGGTAATTGTCATCATTCCAGAGTGTCTAAAGGAATCCTGTGTGTGTCTTAATCCAGGATGTCTAGGAATCATGTTTGTAAGTGTCTGAAGTCAGAGTGTCTCAAAGATTACTGAAAGGCATGTGTCCAACATTTCATTCCCAATCCGTTGATGGTGAAGGTAAACCTATATAGTGTACATTAGAAATTTTACAGAAACAAAAGTAATATTCCTTGAATAATTTAGACAAATTAACCTCTATTTTGACTCATGCCAATTCATGGACAATCAAGTATTCTAAAATAATGGTTATGGAAGGTTCTTTTCTTTGAATAATTTTTGTGATCTGATATACCCATGGTTTCTAATGATAGTGCTAAGACGGTAGTCACCGTATGATCGACATCAACATTTATTATAATGACATGCAAACAAAAATGTGTCATCGAAATATGAAGTGGAGAGTATGATGATAATAATCTTTTGTGAGATATTCTGATTTACTTTTCTCTGCTTCCAGCAAGTTTGAAGGTAGGCCTAATGTCAGAATGTCGATAATGACAATAACCGTTACAGTAGGCGATATTCTCAATCCAGGGATCAATTTTAGCTAATAATATCACAACACAGTGAAATCATATCACATAGTATTGTCTCCTACCTTTACTGAATAATTCCATAAAGAATGACACATAAATCCCAATCTCCACTTGGAAGGAATGCACTGACAACATTAGGTGAATTTCCCATTATGATCTCTTATTATGGCTTCTCCCCTGATTACATCAGTATATACTGAGCCCCAAAAGAAAAGCATGTCTGATTTAATATATGTCTTTTTGTAAGAAATCAAAAACAGGAACTAAAGTTTTAGTGATTTATTCAATAGTTTTTTAAAATTGTAATTAAACAAAATGTGGCTAGATTTCATTTCCTAAAATTTACAATTTCTATTGTCTATTTAATGAAGGCACCTCCATGAAAGAAAAATCACAAATCGGTCAATAATGTGTGTGTCCTCCTTGGGCATTGATACAGATTGTGCAATGTTGTCTCATGGAATTACTGAGAGTCTGGCAGAATGCCTGGGGAAATTTATCCCATTCCTGAAGGAGTCTCTGTTCAAGTTGTGCCAATGTCAATGGAGCTTCATCAGCAGCGATTCTTTTCCCAATTTCATCCCACACATGTTCTATCAGTGCCATATCCGGTAAAAGAGACAGCCAAGGGAGGACATTCACATTATTTTGTGCAAGGAAACCCATAGATACTGGAGCATTGTGGGGATGGATGCTATCCCTCTGGTAAAACTGTAGTTGGCTGTGGCTGTGCAGCAAACAAGGGTGTGACTTTGAAGGTGAGTTACCTGGATGAAGCGATCTTGGGCCTGAGTTGTTTCCCTTGGTCTCCCTGTCCAGGGATGATCTGAAACAGAACTTGTATGTTTGAAGCGTCCAACAAGCTAACATGAGATCCCAAGCGCCTGGCTACAATAGTGGCAGAGGTACCTGCATGCAAACTTCCTAGAGCCATTCCTCTCTGCAATTGTGTCAATCATGGCATCATGCTTCAGGAACATTTTTCGCGCTACCTTCACTGAATGAATGTATTTGCGACGGACTGCATTATAAAGAGCACGTCTTTGTGAAAACTCAGCTGTATTGGCAACATGATAGCATGTGCAGAATTCAGGATTTTACACATGTGTGAGTGTGAACAGTGTTGCCATTTCATCATTTGCAATCACAACTTTACATAATTGATATCAACAGTAGTATATACAAAGGTTACAACTAAGGATTTTCACATGATAATAAACTTTTTTGGGGCTCAGTATATTTTAGTGAACAAATACCTTTACCATTCAGAGATAGACATTAGGAATTTCAGGTATGTACACCAAGAATCAATATAAACAACTAATAATCCAGGCAGAGAAACACTCTTAGCTATTTCATATGCCTCGACCAACATTCTGACCCAAATCTATCAACAACTTGACTGGAAAGTGGATGGAGATTCTGCTTCATCAATAGAAGAAAGGAGTGTTTTGATTGGCTTAGACAATGTGAGGAACTGTTTCAAAGTAAATTTTGCAGGTCTTTGTTTTCATCAAATTTTGTTGATGTTTTGATAATTACAACACTTTAACACATAAATATATTTAGAATGAGGATGGTAGGCATGTTTTTATGCATATACTGGAGATTAGATCATGAAATTTGGTTTTGACAAGAGATGCAGTCAAAACCAAATTTTGTGATCTAATCGTCAGTATATGCATAAAAACAAGCATACTATCTCCTAAGTCTATGTTTTTACATTAGCCTTCTGAAAAAGTGTGTGAATGATTACAAAAACACACAATCTTGAAGGAGGATGCAGTATTTCCGTCTTTGCTGGTGATTTTGTGTAGTGTGGAGCTCAATTAGTCATATCTGTTATGAAAACATTACATTTAATATTCCTTTTCTTCAAAGTTTTTATACAAAGTCTTTCATTTTTGTTTGCTTCAGGCTTTGTAAGGAACCCAACCATATTCCACTCGGTTGTAATGAGATTGAGAAACAAGGAGAAAGGAATATGAGGACATATATTGAGACCTGTGTGTCAGAGGCCATGCTTCGTGAGTGCCACATGTGCCACAGGAGGTTCTACAAGGAGTACGGTTGTAACAAGATGACCTGTACCTGTGGTGCATCCCAGTGCTACTTGTGTCAAAAGCCAGTTGATGATTATGACCATTTTGATGATGATGATGAAGAAAAGTGTGTAACTTTATTTTTGATAAATCTCTCATATGAACAATTGCTCTCAGATATATACAAATGAAACATCCATACTTTAGGACAACTTGCTAGACTGAGATAATACAAACGAACCAGCAAATTTCCAATTTCATAATGGCACATTTTCACAGATCCTTAAAGTTCTTTGGAAAAAGTGAATGAAGCAGTTTCTCTATACACTGTTATTGATTGTAGTTATTTTGAGGTCAATCTGGTAAATTAGTGAGCATGTTCTTAAGCTGTAGTACTTTTTTACATTACAGGTGCAATTTATATTCAAATCCACGTGAACTCCATATCGCGGAGATGAGAGCAGCAGTTGCAGCTGGTATTGAGAAGTACAAAGCAGAACATCCAGAGGCAGCTGACATCACACTTAAATACGATGCAGAGAAACATATAGAGGAATGTAAGATTATCGTGGCAACAATTAATTAATGACTGTTAGAGAGTTTGATCCTATCCTATGAAGAAGACTTAACAAATAGGATGTGAAGAAGAGAGAAGTTGATCTGAATAAGCACACTATGAAATCAATAGCTAGGGTATATCTTAATAAAGACACTGTGAAATCAATATCTAGTGTTAATCTTAATAAGGATACTGTGAAATCAATATCTAGTGTTAATCTTAATAAGGATACTGTGAAATCAATATCTAGTGTTAATCTTAATAAGGACACTGTGAAATCAATATCTAGTGTTGATCTTAATAAGGACACTGTGAAATCAATATCTAGTGTTGATCTTAATAAGGACACTGTGAAATCAATATCTAGTGTTGATCTTAATAAGGACACTGTGAAATCAATATCTAGTGTTGATCTTAATAAGGACACTGTGAAATCAATATCTAGTGTTAATCTTAATAAGGACACTGTGAAATCAATATCTAGTGTTAATCTTAATAAGGACACTGTGAAATCAATATCTAGTGTTAATCTTAATAAGGACACTGTGAAATCAATATCTAGTGTTAATCTTAATAAGGACACTGTGAAATCAATATCTAGTGTTAATCTTAATAAGGACACTGTGAAATCAATATCTAGTGTTAATCTTAATTAGGACACTGTGAAATCAATATCTAATGTTAATCTTAATTAGGACACTGTGAAATCAATATCTAGTGTTAATCTTAATAAGGACACTGTAAAATCAATATCTAGTGTTAATCTTAATAAGGACACTGTGAAATCAATATCTAGTGTTAATCTTAATAAGGACACTGTGAAATCAATATCTAGTGTTAATCTTAATAAGGACACTGTGAAATCAATATCTAGTGTTAATCTTAATAAGGACACTGTGAAATCAATATCTAGTGTTAATCTTGATAAGGATACTGTGAAATCAATATCTAGTGTTAATCTTGATAAGGACATTATAAAATCAATATCTAGTGTTAATCTTAATAAGGATACTGTGAAATCAATATCTAGTGTTAATCTTAATAAGGACACTGTGAAATCAATATCTAGTGTTAATCTTAATAAGGACACTGTGAAATCAATATCTAGTGTTAATCTTAATAAGGACACTGTGAAATCAATATCTAGTGTTTATCTTAATAAGGACATTATAAAATCAATATCTAGTGTTAATCTTAATAAGGACACTGTGAAATCAATATCTAGTGTTGATCTTAATAAGGACACTGTGAAATCAATATCTAGTGTTGATCTTAATAAGGACACTGTGAAATCAATATCTAGTGTTGATCTTAATAAGGACACTGTGAAATCAATATCTAGTGTTGATCTTAATAAGGACACTGTGAAATCAATATCTAGTGTTAATCTTAATAAGGACACTGTGAAATCAATATCTAGTGTTAATCTTAATAAGGACACTGTGAAATCAATATCTAGTGTTAATCTTAATAAGGACACTGTGAAATCAATATCTAGTGTTAATCTTAATAAGGACACTGTGAAATCAATATCTAGTGTTAATCTTAATAAGGACACTGTGAAATCAATATCTAGTGTTAATCTTAATTAGGACACTGTGAAATCAATATCTAGTGTTAATCTTGATAAGGATACTGTGAAATCAATATCTAGTGTTAATCTTGATAAGGACATTATAAAATCAATATCTAGTGTTAATCTTAATAAGGACACTGTGAAATCAATATCTAGTGTTAATCTTAATAAGGACACTGTGAAATCAATATCTAGTGTTTATCTTAATAAGGACATTATAAAATCAATATCTAGTGTTAATCTTAATAAGGATACTGTGAAATCAATATCTAGTGTTAATCTTAATAAAGACACTGTGAAATCAATATAGTGTTAATCTTAATAAGGATACTGTGAAATCAATATCTAGTGTTAATCTTGATAAGGATACTGTGAAATCAATATCTAGTGTTTATCTTAATAAGGACATTATAAAATCAATATCTAGTGTTAATCTTAATAAAGATACTGTGAAATCAATATCTAGTGTTAATCTTAATAAGGACACTGTGAAATCAATATCTAATGTTAATCTTAATAAGGATACTGTGAAATCAATATCTAGTGTTAATCTTAATAAGGACACTGTGAAATCAATATCTAGTGTTAATCTTAATAAGGACACTGTGAAATCAATATCTAGTGTTAATCTTAATAAGGACACTGTGAAATCAATATCTAGTGTTAATCTTAATAAGGACACTGTGAAATCAATATCTAGTGTTTATCTTAATAAGGACATTATAAAATCAATATCTAGTGTTAATCTTAATAAGGATACTGTGAAATCAATATCTAGTGTTAATCTTAATAAGGATACTGTGAAATCAATATCTAGTGTTAATCTTAATAAGGATACTGTGAAATCAATATCTAGTGTTAATCTTGATAAGGACATTATAAAATCAATATCTAGTGTTAATCTTAATAAGGACACTGTGAAATCAATATCTAGTGTTAATCTTGATAAGGATACTGTGAAATCAATATCTAGTGTTTATCTTAATAAGGACATTATAAAATCAATATCTAGTGTTAATCTTAATAAAGATACTGTGAAATCAATATCTAGTGTTAATCTTAATAAGGACACTGTGAAATCAATATCTAATGTTAATCTTAATAAGGATACTGTGAAATCAATATCTAGTGTTAATCTTAATAAGGACACTGTGAAATCAATATCTAGTGTTAATCTTAATAAGGACACTGTGAAATCAATATCTAGTGTTAATCTTAATAAGGATACTGTGAAATCAATATCTAGTGTTAATCTTAATAAGGATACTGTGAAATCAATATCTTGCGTTGGAAAAATAAAACATGTTTATGATTATCAAGCAAAACCACAATACATGTTTGTAAAAAAATTGTAGTTGTTGGTTTCCTTTGAGTTTAGTGGCTGCGGAGTTTGCAGAAGATGAAGAATATGATCCTGATGGAGGGGACAGTGAAGGGGATGACAATGATGATGGCTCAAATCCAGAGCTGAGTTCAGACAATGAGTGAGTACATGGCAGTTATTTCACGTTCTGTGAGACAGATCAGTGAGTTAATCACTGAGATAAAGGGATGGTTTATCATTTGATGGTGCCTGTTCAAATCACCCGGTGTTCAATTGTCAGTTGTACACCTTTGAACATTTTTTGAATGACTATTTCCTGAGAACTACTGGATGTCTCTTTCTCAAATTTCATATGTAGGTTCTCCTGAGTCCTTAGTCGTGCACTTTTGATCAGTAAAACAAAATAGCCAATGGACAACCATCTTTGATTTGGACATGGTTGATTTGTTATCACTATTTATTGAAAAGTACTGGCTGGATCTCTCACAAATTTCATAGGTAGAATACCTCTCTTTGTCCCTAATTGTGCACTTTTGATTTTGGGACTGATCAGAAAAACATAATGGCTGACAGACCACCATCTTCGAGTTGCATAAGAGGAATTATCAGTTCTCGTATATAAGTAAGAGAAAATAAGAGGAAAGAAGAGAAAAGTAAGATCACACAATGATGGGCCCCAAGATCCCTCTGGTGTTTCCTATACAGCTATACACGTATACGAGACAGTGAAATCAGATGTATTAGAATTTTCTGTCACATTTGGTCTGTCTGCATAGTACCTGTATACGAGATTTGAGACCAAGTCATATGATATTTATGAGGTCATATCCAGCTGTGTTTCTGAAAATATAACCCAAATGGAAGTAATTTTATGGATTTGAAAAGTACAGAAATGCAAACAACAGAAAAAAATTGATACAATTTTGATAAAATTTTATACACAAATTAGGATCCATTCTAATACCTGTATATGTTCGAGATCAATTTTTCAAAGTCTCTGGCAAACATTCAGTAACATCTCATTCCAGGAGGAAAAGCTAACAAGATGTGGTTACAGAACATCAGCCCCAGACTGAGATAGATTAATCTTAGAATACATACAGGATACAGGTTCTGTGATGAACACTATGTATGGGAGACTTAATATTTACTCCCTTTGCCTGACTGTGAGATTTTATTGTACCATGAGTTCAATTAAGAATTTTTTGGAATTTTTAGCTCACCTAGTCTGAAGGGCCAAGTGAGCTTATGCCATGGTGCAGTGTCTGTTGTTCTTTCTATCTTTTTTCTTTAAACAACCAATGGACCAAATGTTTTGATATTTCTAGCTGGTATGTTCCGAGTAGGAAGCCTGAAAAAGTTTGCAAAAAATGACTTTGACCAATATTCAAAGTCCCAGGTGTCAAATTTGTCAAAAAACACCCCTTTAGATGACTTCTCCTCATGAACTAAAAAACCTAGAGGCATGATATTTGGCTGGTATATCTGGACCAGGCAAGCACTGCTGACTCATTGGGCCTCTTGTTATTGAGAAAGTATGATTGAGAAAACAACAATTAATCCTTACCTGCTATTAGTGAAATTAAGAATTGGTACTTTTCATTTACTTGGAGTGCTTCATGTTTTCAACTATATCCTTTGGAAATGAGATTTCTCTTTAGACTGTGAGTAAGCACATTTGTGTGAGTAAAGCTGATTATATACACATTGTAGCCAACTTATGTACAATGTTTGTACATGTTTTGTGTTCAATTATCATGCTTGTAGGTAAAAATAAAACTTTGTTTTTTTTTTTTTCTTTTTCCAGTGATAATTGGAGAGATGATGATGATGATGAGTTATGAGAAATGAACAGTACAGCAACCATACTTCTGAAGTGTACCAATGAGAAACGTAGTACGGTGGTTGTACTTTTGAATTTCATCAATGGGAAAGGTACCGTGGCCATATTTCTGAAGGTTATTAAAGAGGAACATATATAAATGAGAAATGTACAGCAGGGTGGCTGCACTATTGAGGGTCATCGATTAGAAATGGACAGCTGGGTGGCTGCACTATTGAGGGTCATCGATTAGAAATGTACAGCTGGGTGGCTGCACTATTGAGGGTCATCGATTAGAAATGGACAGCTGGGTGGCTGCACTATTGAGGGTCATCGATTAGAAATGGACAGCTGGGTGGCTGCACTATTGAGGGTCATCGATTAGAAATGGACAGCTGGGTGGCTGCACTATTGAGGGTCATTGATTAGAAATGTACAGCAGGGTGGCTGCACTATTGAGGGTCATCGATTAGAAATGGACAGCTGGGTGGCTGTACATCTGAAGGTCCTCAATGGGATATGTCCAATGTGGTTGCCCTACATATGAATGTCATCAGTGAGAAACATTGAGTAGGATGGCTGTACTTCTGAAGGTCACCAAGGAAAAATGTACAGCATTGTGGCCATCCTCTGAAGGACATCAAAGTCCTGGGTTTGGATGTTCAAGTAGTTTGTGATGAATAAATTATTTACTTATCAATGATTGTGATACATACACTGCATTCTATATTATTTTGGTTGTCAATATGTTGTAGATATCAGTTTCTGAATTTAGTGAAATATTCCGGAGATCATATACATTATCAGGCAGATAAAATATGTTAGTCAAAGAACAACAATGCAGATTGATTATCAAAAAATAGTATTGTTTCTAATTGTGTTCCTACAAGGCTGCATTTATCAAAGAGCATTAATCAGAACTTAACACAAAATTTTTGTCAAGTATTTTAATTTCAGATATGTTGATGGTGTGTTCTCTTTAAATCAAACATTATTGACCAAATCAGTAGGCCGCTAATGACATGACATACTATTAATAATAATACAAAGACATGACAGACAGCAAACCATTTGGTGGTTTCAAATTTCTGTGTATGAGTATTAATTTCTTTACAGTAAATTCCTATCTGTTAGTGTTGTGGTTGATGAGACATTCAAGTGTATAATTTCAATATATACAGTAAAACATGGATAAGTGGAAGTCGATGGGACCAAATGAAATATTTGACTGATCAGATGGTTCGACTTAGCCGTGTTTCTATGACCGGGGACATTTTGCGTCAATCTTATTTCCGGTTTACCGGATACGTTTCTCATTGCATGGCGTGATAGTAATGAAAAAGTAATAAATAAACGAAAATATTTTGTAATTTTTTACCATTTTCTTTTTATTTAGATAAATTGTTATAAGTACGAATATAAATAAAACAATAGATTCCAGAGGGATCTTGGTGCTCACCATTATTTGATTTATATATTATACTCTTCGAAAGTTGGATCTTTTCCCTTATTTCTCTTCTCTGTTTTTGCTCTTAATGATAAGAAAGGTTCTGTTTCCAGTAATGTTAATTCTCCATAGGAGCCTGCCCCCGTATAATTTCTTATCTAGCTTAACTACTGTTTTGTTCTTTTCCGAAAAATAATTTTGCACCTTTCCAACACCCAGATTTCATAATTTCAGTGAAAATGTATTTTTATAATGTTGTCAATTTCAGCATCAAAGACATAAGTTCGTAAATAAAAGAAGGTTATCTCGAAATTGTAATTCGCAACATAGTATAAATTTCTTTTGATAAATATTTCAAAAAACATCGTGTTTATTCATAAAACATAAAAAAAAATATTCTCGGATGAAAATGCACTTGCAGAGACACAATTATGAAGAAAAATGCCATAAATTTGCAATTTTCTCCCGTTATATAGTTTTTGATGCAAATTTCCATCAGAAAATCGGATAGAGCTTTACTTGTTTCATATGTGTACCAAAAAATCAGCTAATTCCATGTGGTGGAACGTTCTCATATCGCCGCCTGAATGTGGTTGTAAATTGAAAGAAAAGGGGAAATGAGTTGTCTGAAACCCTATTATATAGCTTATTATATACAAACTTGTCTATTGAATATCAGAGCGGATATTTTCATGACAGTTTTATGATGTGTAAAGACTAAATAAATAGTATCGATATAAAGATTTACACTGAGGACACCCTGATACATGAATACTGTTCTATCTCAAGCTGTCCTCTTCTGAATTTTCTGATTGTGTGGCCTTGTACATTTATCCGTATCTTCTTGTCTTTGTCTATACGTTTACGAAATCATTCACTCGACGCTAGCTATTCCTGTCTCAATTTCCTTGTTTATTGTCCCATCTTCAAAGCGTTGTGGCTCTGTCAGGGTTGGGACCCTGACTTGTCTCACTTTCTTTGTGCCTGCCGACCACGCCACATCGAATAGATAGATTATCCATATGAAATACTTTATTTTGTTCTAAGTAATCAATCAATTCTGCGCTTCTTGGAGGTATTGAATGTGATTTATTATATTGTCTTGTTATTTTGTGTAATTAGTTGTTCGTTATTTATCACACATTTTCGCATAATTGTACCAAACTACTAAGTATTAGCTGTTTACAGCAATCATCGGTGGCTTGCTATTCTGTTACTTTATCGACGCTTCATAAACCAATCGTTATTGTTTCAAGATGGAGGGTAAATGTGTTGGAGAAGAGTGTCAAGTATACTTCAAGAAACGTAGTGGCAATAAGAACAGAAGTGCACGCAATGTATATAGTCCACAATATAAATGGCTCCTAGATATGCTGGTGCAGCAAGGATTGATGTCAGCAAAGGAACAAGCATTTATTTGCCAGAAGTGCTACATGAAGTATCTTCGGAACAAAAATCAGCCTGAAACTGAACCCGAGCAGAACCAGGAAATAGAGGAAGAAGACGAATTCCCGTCCCATATCCTGCCGTTGCTGACCCTTCATAATCTTTTGAATGGATCATCTTCACACAAAACATGCTGTATCTGTCTTGTTACCTTTCCAAAAAATGGAACAAAATCATCAGTCTTACCAAAACGTGCAAGACATCACCTGATCTATTCACACACACTGTGGTGTCCCACCTCATCCCGCGTCTGCTCCATTCACCTTATTGGTAACGACTTAGATCCGTCTACAGAGGTTGTCCTTGATAGTAGAGGTTCCTTGGAATCTCAGTTACCATCAAAATCGTCCGAAATCATTAATGACCCCCTAGAGGTGTCGCACGTCCTTTCACAGAACCAGTCTGCGTTTACAATAAGCTTTTCTTCTCTTGATGACTCGGCATGCATGGCCTGGACAGGTTGGTCCAAAGATCAGATCCTCGAAATCCACTCGCACTGTTCCCCATATCTTTCATCTGGTATATATACCAAGACTACACACGATGCTCTATTACTGTTCTGGATAAAACTGAAAACCGACATTTCCTGGAGTCAGTGTTCTTCTCTTTTTAGAATTTCCAAGTCAAGTGTGTCCAAAACTTTCCACTCCATAGTACAGGAATTAGACACATCGATAGTCTCACAATTTCTAGGTCCGGATCACTTGACAAGAGAACAATTGCTCGGGCACAATACTGTCTTTTCAGAAGCATTTTTCGGAGATAAAGCCACTGCCATATTAGATGGCACCTATATTTATATCCAGAAAAGCTCCGACCACAAGCTCCAGAAAATGTCCTACTGTGGCCAGAAGAAAAGAAACTATGTCAAATTCATGAGCATCGCCTTACCAGATGGCTACATTCTGGACACCGTAGGACCATTCACTGGCAGCGAAAATGATGCTACAATTACAAAAAAAGTCATGGACAAGCTAGTTACTTGGCTACAACCAGACGACAGCGTTGTCGTTAGAGATGTCCTACCAGTTCTCGAAGCCTCTGGCCTAAATGCTAGCATGCCGTCATACCTGAAACCCGGTCAAAGTCAACATTCTGACGTCCAAGCAAATCTTGACAGAACTATCACCAAATCGAGGTGGATTGTGGAATCCTATCATGGTCGTCTGAAACACTGGACGTTCTTCCGAACGCAATTGGTGTCTAACAGCTTTATCAATGTCATTGAGGCTTTGCTTCGAACCGTCACAGCCTGTCTGAATGGTATTAGAGGACCGATCTACCAGAGATCTCCAGAGAGAGATGCCAAAGATAGGCTAATGGCTGAACGTATGAAGGACCGTTTGACAACACCGAATGGTTTAGCTCAGAGAGTCAAGATAGATCCGGATCTATCTAGACGGGCAAGGTCCGAGTTTGTCAAGATGGATGCATCTTCCGTACTGTTTTACCGTCTCGATCTTGATTACTTGAGAACCATTACGTGTGGAACGTATCAGATATCTCTGGCTCCTGGTTACATCGCCGAACATATAAGTGATGACGGAGACTATGAGGTGTGGCTTTACCAGCACTCCCCAGACCTCTGATGTCAAATACATTCTCGACACAAAAGCCAAACGAAATATAACGTTTGGATACGGTTCGCCGTTTCACCCGATGTTGAGGCCCCAATAAAGACTACTACTGCCAGTGCCCAGTTGAAGAGAGAACGATGGGAATGTGTGCGCACATCTCCAGTATCTTGTACTACCTTGGGTATTACAGGACGCTGGAAAACCCTCGACCATTACAACCACAGGTAAAGAAATTCCGACAAAACTTGAAATAGTTTTCCATGCGGCAACGGAATGCATATGTCGAAAGTATGTTTTGGGCTCGATATGAAAGATCCCCGTTACCATGTGACTAACCAAACTTATAAATATAGGTATTATACAATCGCCCGTAGCTATGAACACTCCCGTAAATGCGAAAACCAACCAAAATCATAAGGAACACGTTTTGTTTGTTGTTCTGTCTATTTGTCAGCCAATGTCATCAACCACGGGGACTTGTGAAGAAGCCATCTTGGATTTTTTTTATGAAAAAGTGTTTCTCTCACTTTTTTTCATATCTGTGTACATATTATCAACATACCGAGCAAATACTGTCGTTTTTTTTTTGTTAATTATCTAAAGAAAGTCGAAAATCGGCAATTCAACCATAGGCTAATTCAACCCAACATTTGAAAATGTTCCACCACTTACATTTTTATGATTTTTCCTCTCATCAATAGAATATTACGTACTATTTGATAGGATAAAAATTGGTTTGCATCCAACGCCCATAAAAGGGTGTATTCTCTAAGAAACACAGTTTTTGTGTCTAAAATGTTATCATCGAAAATGGCATTTTTGAGATTGTTTCTTCCATAAAACAGCCAAATGGCGCGATGGAAACATGATTATTTTGTCACAATCATGCCATGAATGTATTCTTTACGGTGACTATCATTTGATTAGATTTTCATTAATATTTTACATAACATGCACATTTTATCAACACTTAGCTAACTAAACTCCTAAACTCAAACAGCCACAACTACGGACCGAGAGGAACATATACATGAACATTGAGAAATATTTATGCAGTATGTCTCAAGAAATAGCGATAACAAACGTTTGAAGTCAAAATCCAAGACAGCCGCTTGTAGGACATTTTTTCTTGGTCTGTACCAAATTCAAATAGGCACAACTAGGGATCCAGGGAAACATACATATGATATTTGAGATACATGATATATATATGCTGTAGTTCTCAAGAAATAGTGCAACAAACTTTCAAAGTCAAAATCCAAGACGGCCGCTTGTCGGCCATTTTGTTTTTCTGACCTAAACTAAAATTGACACATCAAAGGACCATGGATAATCTACATATTAAAATTTAAGAAAGATTTATCAAGTACTTCCCAAGATACGGCAATAACAAGTATGCAAAGGCTGATGACAGTAGGCTAAAGATGTCATGTGAAACACTCGTCATTGAATTGAAGCATTCGCGTGCATACGTACCCACTCTCATACACATAACTTAGTGAAATCGATGCCTAAATTATACAAATATTATTCTCACATTTATATCTTTAAGAGTAACAAATCAAGTGTTTAATATTTTAAATTAAAACTCACTGAAATACGTACTCATGAACATTGTACATTTATACAAATCTTTAAAGGTTAACAGATAACGATGTATTTAGTTTAAAGTTTCGCCTGTGCATCTGTGTAGGCACAGATATTAATGCTCGTTCGAAAATGACAAAATTACGACAGCCAAAATTATCTTTTACCTCAGACAAGGTGACATCTGAATGTTCGACACCGAAAAAGATAAGAAAATCAATACAAGACATACCAAGTTATGTCACTAAAGCAGGTCTCTCAAACAGAAAAGATTTTGCGTTTATCTTGTGTAGAAAACCCTGATAAGAACGCCGTGTCTTTCACAATCTAGATGATTTATTTGTAAACATCAATATCGAGTTTCTTCTCTTTGGAAACGAAAATTTCGGTCCTTAAACACAGACACAATTTTTACAGAATAACACTTTTTTTATGAAAATCGGTCCAACATATTTTGATCACTTAACAATAATAAAATGTATTTTGGAGACCGGCGTTACTACACACAGTTGCAGGTATTTCTTGGTCTTTAATTTTGCCAAATGTTTATATCTGTACGTGCATCGGGAGAGGTCGTCAGAGCACGTGCCCATTCAACTAGATTTAAACTTTAAACATTTTCTTTCTTTCGATCTTCACTGCAATCATTATGACCGCCCCGCCCTCCCCCGTCCGAGAGAGTGTGTAACAAGAGTTAACTCTGGGATATCAGAATGACAGTATCGTTACATTATTGGTAAGTTTTACAAAACAAAACAGTAAACAAAGAAAACTAGGACATTACGCATATTTTATTGTCAAGCAAGTATAAATTGTCAGAAGCCTGATGGCAAGTTCATTGTTATAAACACATTTTATACACATTTATTCGTCAATAAATTCATAAAATCATTAATTAATTTCGTCAGTTATGATACGATATGAAAACAATAATTAAAAAGCAAAGTATCTAATCTATCAGATTTGAATTAAAAAAGATTAAAATTTGTGCAAAAAAACTATACCTGTTAAAACATGAAGTGGAATTCCTACACCATTTTTTAATTACGTACAAGCAATATTAAAGGTGTTCGAAAGGGAGTTAGATGGATTTTAAATATGAATGTGTAAAAAAAAACCTGGAAAATATATCCTTAGCACGATAATTCTATGACATGTGACAATCTTTGCGCAAACAAGTTTCTTGGCAAAGTAAACATGTTGAGCCTACGCATTCTTGAGCGTTGTTCTGTAACTTGCGATAAAACTTGAGGTGCCTTATCAACGCATGCTGAATAGATCTGTTCTAAATCTATCGTTGCTATGCATCAATTTCTTACCAAGCGTATTGTCAGAATAAATGTGGTTTGTTGATGTATATAAAAGTTTAGTGTCGTGCGACTGTAGGGCGAGTTGACTTTGAGACATTGTTATTGGGAAGAAGTCCGAGGGGTTCGGGGAATCAGCTTAGGTAGAGAGCGCGGCAAGATGGCAAGCGAAGAAGATGCAGCGTGATATCATGATGAAGGAAAGACAGACCTCATGTGTTGTTTAAGAGTTTAACCAATGGGTTAAGGAGTGAACTTTGACTCTGTTTGTGTGTACCATGACCTCGAGAGCTCGAGCTCGAGCGCTGTGACCCAGTGTTATCACGAGTCGAAAGTAAGGACGCCTATTTACATTTTTTCAATTTTAAACATTGAAGTAGACAAATAATTGTGTTTTTATAAATCAGGCAAGAATTTGCTTAGTGTTCGGTTTTCCTTTGTAATGACGTCATCGTGTAAATTATGATGCGTCACAGGAATGTCCTTCATGGAAGCCAATCCGAAACAGAACGTCATTATCAGTGACACACAGCCCGTCAACACTGTCAAGTAGAAGCAATGCCCAAGTTGGAGTGAAATAAATGATCCACGGATCTGATACGTGTCACAATGAAATGCTATATAGATCCAAAGACATCCAGTCAGCGTTAGGAAAGCTGTAAAACACAACATTCAGAAAGTTCAATGGTGTAAAATATTCACATTAAAAGTTTGAGAATAGGTAAAACATAACAAAATACGAAAGCCTGTTTATAACAGCGTCCACTTTTGTTTATCAATCATGCTATATTTTTGCTTTGCTGCGCCAGTTTCAATTCATGACGTAACGTCACTGTCCATATTAGGGCCTTACAATTGATTGATGACTGACACAGCTAATAAAAAAACGCTGCTACATACGTATTTAACACAAGTGATACATATGCAAAAATATTACATAGAATAATTCAATGGACGCCAGACAGATAAAAGGTTATAAACATCGTAGGTAGGAATCTATCTCAAGTTTATCTATTCATCATTGGAGAACATTGACAAGGCCGTAGCGTACAAACTGGTTCATTTCTGTGCGTTTGTACGATGCAGTTTTGTTGGAAGTACCAGCATGCATCATACCTGTATATCCGCAAATTCTTGTAAGTATCAGATTATTTCCTCTATTAGTTTTCGAACACCCTGGTGCGGACACTACGAACCCCAACAACAGCAAAACACTTCCTGCCATCAAAAGTGTCTTCGCAATATCATTATTCACTGAAAATAACAAATTACTGTCATGTCATGAAGTTAAAATTAGTTACACAAATAAGCACAAAAAGGCGTTAGGTTTCAGAATTCTGTGATGTCAGTGTTTAGATATTAGCTAAACAATATCCATCCATAAGATGTACTCAATATGTACCATGTATGTACATTTCAACTTGGGCAGATGGCAAGATTTACAATAGATTATAAAAAATTGCGGCCTTGAGCCATGGAGCCGACAGTGATTTGTGCACATGCGTAATCATATATGACGCAAATATTTACATATCCAGAATGTGGATTAAAAGATGCAGTTTTTCTGAATTATAAATGAACCTCTTTATGTGTTTATATTCAGGGAAAACCACACGTCATTATATAATATATGCAATATTTTTTAAAAATCCATTAAAAATCGTTTTACCGCGATGTCGCTTTAAACCATCATAGCTGTTGATTGTGTGTACATAATAAAAAATCCAAAATTAACGAGCAGATGATCGAATTTTCTCCGGTAGGCGACATGACTATATGAATTATAAATTACTTGGAACCTAAAACATTCAAGTTTAACGGCCGTAACTATGGTAAGTTATTGACCGGAACTTTATCTGTATTTTATCATTATTCAGCAAGGTCCAGGCACGAAATTTCAAAGAAGTGTTTCCATCAGTACAAGAGTAAACAAGTGGGATCCATTGTATTACTAAATGTTGGAATGACGACAAGGGCCAACAATGTCTCTCCTTGCCATTAGTCTGCCTATGGAGAGAGGGCATTCAAGTGGAATTGTTCAAATAACTTATTTTGCTTCAATTGTTTAGAAAGACGAGTATCGGTAAAACTGGTGAATGCTTCCCGAAAACGGCGTCATTGGGCACAAAATTTGAACAAAGCGCCTGAATTTGGTTTACTGTACATTCTATAAGTATGATCCCAGATTTAATATTAGCGAAGCTATGGTCATGACAAAAATTTTTAACAAAGGGCAATAACTCTCTAATTAAGGGGTTCCGGGCCATAACATTTGTACACTGCACTTTGTCTTCGTATGATCAATTTACACGCAAAGTTTCATATTCCACCTAAACTGCAAGCAATACTATGGAGAAAAACATGTTTGTTTTAGCAAGATCAATGCATACACTAAGTTTCATAATCCTTACTTAAGTGTAAGCAAAGGTATGCTCCGGACACGAAAAAGACGGACGGAAAGACGGACGGTCGGCGACCATATGCTTCCCCGAAAATTTTCGGGGAATATAAAATATACTTTGGATGAATACATAAATAAATATATTACATATATCAGTAATGCAAAATTACCGCCAGAATCAAATATAAACCCGGAAGTCTTAATGGATTTCCCGATTTCCGAAACTAAATCTATATAATTTTCAGGAAATAATGTAAAGATTTGAAGTGACGTTTTATTGATAACTTTGCAAACATGATCTGGCAATTGATATAATTGAAGAGAGTATCATATGATATATGGTATATGTCTGGGGCCAGTAACTAGAAGCTCCCTTAAGACCTAAGGGCAACTTTAAGTTCCCTTAAGTACTAAGGGTGTAACTGAAAGCTTACTTAGACAAGCAAAACGGTAATTTTTAAGTCTAACTGAACATCTGTCCTTAGCTCGCCCTTACCTCTCCCTTCCGTAGTTAGGATAACCAGAAACCCTCTTAAACTCTAAGGTATCCTTAAAGTACTCTTATACCTCACTTAGAAGTTTAAGGGCGTAACTACATCCCCACCTTAAACTTGAAACTTTCACTTAGACTAAGGATGCCCTTGACCGCCCCTAAACCACTCTTAGTGCACAATCCAGTAAAGATATTGTACCACCATGGCTTTGATATTGATGCTTTTTCAAGAAAACCGAGATGTTCCAAGGAGGTTATTCAGGGATCGCCAAAATCCATTGGATTTTCTAAGTGACCAAGCGATCGTGAACGATTATCGCCTTGATAGGGAATCTATATTTGAAATTTGTAACTTATTCCAAAACGACATTTCAAGAATAACGAGGAGAAGTAGAGCTCTTCCGGTTTCCCTGCAGACTATGGTTGCTTTGCGATATTACGCCAGTGGAAGCTACATGTCCGTCATTGGGGATGCACATGGGGTGAGCAAGATGGCGGTATCTCGCGCTGTAAGGGATGTGTCACTGATTCTTTCACGTCATGCTAGAACGTATATAAAGTTTCCCTTGACTGATCAGGAACAACTTAAAGTAAAACAAGATTTCTTCAGGATTCGAGGATTCCCAAATGTTCTAGGAGCCGTGGACGGCAGTTTAATTCCCATACATACTCCGACCGTGGAGAGCATCTATACGTGTGCAGAAAAGGTTTTCACGCTTTGAATATACAAGGGATCTGCGATGCAAACTACCAATTCTTAAATGTCGTTGCGAAATGACCCGGCTGTACACACGATTCCCACATTTGGAATAATTCTGGCGTGTGTAATGCCTTTGAGACCGGCCATATTCATAATGGTTATCTCCTCGGAGACAGTGGCTATGGTCTTAGACCGTGGCTTTTGACCCCAAAATTGGCACCAGCGTCACCTGCGGACAGAAGGTATAACGTCGCACATCGGGCCACTCGCTGCGTGATTGAGAGAACATTTGGAATCTGGAAAATGAGATTTCGATGCCTTTTCAAAGGGCTTATTTTGTCCCCTGAGAGATCAACTAGGGTGATAATGTCGACAGCAATATTGCACAATATTTGCATGAAGAAACAACTCCCTTGCGAGGATGTCTCTGATGAAAATGACGACCCAGAGGAAGATATACAAGATCAGTACCAGCCGGATTCACAGTCGGGCATCCAAGCTAGAGAAAACGTAATAGCGACAACCTTTGGACAATAGTTATGCATAACTGATATTCTGAACTGTCAAAAACAACAAAGACTGATGACTACTAGTGTAAATTTCAACAAAACATTTTAATAACACTTTAACAGAAATAACAATTACTGCTTCAAATAATTAAAATTAAATAAAACTTGTTGCTGTGGAAGAAAACTCCTTATAATTATCTATATTAACTAGTTTTACATGTCAAAAATGTAATAAACAGAAAAATACTAAAACAAAATTGAGTCTGAATTTGTGAGTATTTGGCATTGCTTTATGCACCGGTTTACAGGAAGAATTATATCCAATAAAACAAATCTCAGAATAGTCACTGATCCAATGTAAATTACAAAAACAAAACATGATCGGAAAGCTGTCTTGGTTCAAATGAAACTTGCGATAACAGAAACGTGATTTTAAGATGAAATTCTTCAAATGTCAAAGTGCATCTAGATGAAACTTGGATTTCATGATAAAGATATACTGCTTCCATAAATTGAATTGCGAAAGCAATATTTGGATTTCATATAGATAGGACAATGAGTAAGAAATCTATGAAATGGAAATGACATGAGTGGGCTTATTATCATTTATGGGCTTATTGCCGGATATATACTTTAAAGTAAAGACTGAATTACTCTTAAAATTCAATATGACTAAAGGTTTAATTATACGAAAGATGTATCCAGTACTTCTTGAGATATAGCGATAACAAGAATTATGTATGGACGTCCGGGATATTACCATTTGTAATGATGGTTGGCTAAAAATTCATTGATCATTTTGCCCGACCACGCGGGTTTCCTGTGGGCACAAACCCCTCAATCGCTAATATACAGGCCAAAAGTATGATTATTATAAGTTTGATAACTTGTTTCATCATTTTTGCAAAATATAATGAAGTTTATTATTATCACTACAGTGTTTATAACGTAGGTAAATGTGTATTTATCTTCTGTTTACTTACTTATTAAAGACAGGTTAAACTGAATGGAGCATCTGCATCATCTGGTTGGAACGGCTGATTATAAAGACACGACTTCACATTGCTGGATTTTTCAACCTGAAGTCTTTCCTTTTCTATTTCTAATCTTTCTTTTTCAACAGTAAGTTTTTCCTTTTCGAAAGCATATATCTTGGACGATTCATCCTCGGTCAATTCGCGAGCTACTTTTCTTTTTTTACTTCTACATGGCACAACGTTTGATGCAATTGATGGGACACTATGTCCAGCGTTTGATGTTTCACTATGTCCAAAACTATGTCCAGTCTTTGGGGTTTCATATGTTCTTTGGGGTTTCCTTGTTTGGTGTAAAACAATATTGCATTGGTTGATCTATCCCAAAATTGTTTAAGGTAAGTTTGATGTCAGAAGATTCATTACTACTTTGTATTTCTATGGACTCTACACTCTGCATATCTGCGTCTACTGACCTTTCTAGTTCAAATGTGTCCGCCATCTCAGTGTTGATGCCGTCTACTTCTGTCATCCCAAGTACAGAAAGCACTTTTTCTTCTAAAGGCGTCAGACCCAGTTCTGTCATTTCTTTGTTACCTGTCCTTTTTCTTTCCCTGTCGAATTTTGACGCTTTCCCCTTTACAACGCTAGACCAGTCTTGCCATTTCTTTTTGACGTCCTCCATACTTCTTGAAGCTTGAGATGCAGCATTTATCTTTGCTGCGATAAGTGTCCAAATTCTCTTCTTCTTTTCATTTGTCACAGTATCGCTGAATTTTCCCATTATCAAGTTTCTATTTTTACTCACTTCGTCCACGAGGATCTCTAATTCTGTTGGTGAAAAGTTGGGCTTTCTAGGCCGCTTGCTGGTTGTTTTTTGGTCCGCCTCTGCCATGTTCTTACACGTGGTTTTGTTTACCAAGTTAAAACGAAAGTAAGTCGGTATCAAATAGCCGCTTGGGTATACTCAGTATCTGAGTCAAACGTTTCCATGATTTAAAAAAATTTAGTAGTCAAAGAAACGAAGACGGAGAGTCCGGATTCAACGATGCGTAGCTTAGTATTATGTTTACCTGAGAACAGTTTAAGAGAGCCCTACGATAGGTTTAATGGTGTGATAAGGAGGCTTGTAATTACCCACTTACCATGCCCTTTGTTTAATCTTAAAGCTCCCTTAAATCCTATCTTCAGTCCATTTTTCTAGTTACCGGCCCCTTATCTTTATCTAGAACTTAGCTGTTCGGTATTGTTTACCTCACACAATCAATGTTGAATCATATTTGTGGAGGGATTTAGTAACTTTGTAGCTTATGTTGTTTACGTTAGAGTTATATTATTTTACCTGTTATAAACAGTATGAGGGACATTTTATATGAAATATACATGTCGAATTTTCTAACGATAAAGTATTCTAACGACATAATGACAAGGCGTCAAAACAAGCTGGAAAAATGATTTAAGGTGTGATAAATGACATCCAGCGCGAGATCATAACAACCATCGTAACTATTGTTGTTACCAGATTGATTCCGTACTAACGTCGTTAAAAACAGCGATCTTCAACTTTCTCTTTCCCGTTATCAAAGAGATGTTGTTTTCAGGCGCACTGTTTGGTAGTAGGATACGATTAGAATGAGGTGTGTAACAGTTACATTGACACTTGTGAGTCTTTGAAAATAATTCTAGAAAAGTTCCTTTGAATATCTCTCCCAAAGTAAGAGTTGGTGTCATGAGACAATGTTATAAATCTTATGAGCTTACAATTTTTTTACTCAGTCTTTTTAAACCAAAAGTATAGAATACAACGCAACAAAACAATAATTTTATTATAAAGATGTTTAGAAGTTGAAATAAAAGCTGATTACTGTCCTATCATCAATCACGTTTGATTGTTTTTTGTTTAATTTTTTATTTACGGTTTCTAGTTATGAAATAAGGCAATGCAACGAATTAAAGCAATGACAATGCACACATACAGAACACATACCGGAGAATAGGATTATTCCCGATAAATGAAATAAAAATTACCTGAAAGACGATAAAACCAGAATTTAATGTTTGCATAATTGTCAGGTTTTTAGTATGAGGTCAAGAGGTTGACTTCCTGTGGTGACAAATTGTGGATGAGAGCAATTCAGAACGAGTATACGGTGACTCATTAAAAACAGTAAAAAAAAATCTGAAAAGTGCTAACATTTATATTTCCCGTGTACGCTGTAATATATTCAAGGACAGGCGTTTAATGTTTAAGATTTATGACCAGTGATTCGTGTTCGATATTGTTTACCTTACACAATCAATGTTAAATCATATTTGTAGAGGGATTATGAAACGCTGAAGCATATGCTGTTTACGTTAGAATTATCTTGCCATCCTGAACGAGTATAGAGCGACTCATGAAAAATAGTGAAACACTAATTCTCGAAGAGTGCTAACGTTGATATTTTTATAAATTTTTGAAAATATTCTTTACACCGTCTCAGAGCTGGCATGCTTTACAAATATTTATGTGTCATAAAGAAAGCCTGATCGAATCACTTATAGCTCATTCATTAGCATATATATATAGAGAGAGATAAAAACACTTACATGATGCGCTGGGGTCAAAGTCTTTACACGTATCCATCCCCGCGCATATAACAAGATAGTCAGCACCATTGAATGCCGTGAACAGTCCTGCGTGCTGCTGTCGAATGATCCCCTCCTGAACCCAAGAGACTTGGTACCAGCAGGGCGTCACCAGACTCGCTATCTGTATAACGAGGATAGGTAGAAAAGAGAGGTACCAGTAAACTCCCACGGCTGTCGTTTCTGCCATCGTCCTGATAGAATCATGGATGACTGAAGTTAAGAATGTTACAATGAAACATATAGTGAAATTCTTAGTCCTCCTGGTGGAGTGTTGGGTATCGAGTGCGTGATTGTTCTCGTCCACAAGCCAACCTCCGTTATAACAGTTCGCGTGTTATTCTATCTGTGTTCTGAGTGACTGACATTTAAAACACGGACAATTACATGCACTGATTTTTGTAATACCGATGTGAACATATTACCTGTGATTGTCAAAAGGGGTACATGTATTGTATCAAATACAATACTGACTCACCAGTAATTACTTTTGTATTGTTGTGAAAATCTAGCGTAGATTTCCTGCTCATTCAGCGATGAAATATCATAAAATATGGCTGCGCATTATTTATCCTCGCTTAGCAAATGCTGAAAAGGTGTAGGTACATTTTTCAAGGTTTTACTTGGTCACTAGTACAGATGATAGAACAGAAATCGGGTGACAGAGTCATGTTCAATGGAGCACATTATACCTAAGATATAGACTTAAGACTTCAGATGTAGACCATTAGCATAAGAGGCCAGGCCGTTGGTTCACTCAAGTCGCGTCATTCGCTGAGCAATTTCGTTTTAACCATGTCTATTAAGGTCTTAAGTTCCAACGGAAACAATTTCAGTAATAATGTAACATCAAATAGTATGCTTGGATATTCGTGAACATGTGTCTCGTTGCAAGATTTCGCTATACTTAACTTTTTTGATGTTCATACATTTAACTTTTCAATTTGGTTGAATATAACAATTAATGAAAAATAAAGGACGAGGACGCAACGTGACGGTAAAAGACATATGCTTAGTTTTTTAGTGAAAAAGAAAGATTATATATCGTTAGCATTCCGGTTGAAAAAATCGGGTAGAAACTGCCATGCACATTAGCGACTGAGGCGTAATTTATCAGCAACAGGCATAATCCTCCATAATAAATTATCGTACTCAATGAATTTTGACTGATACAATATTAGTGAAGATTGAATAATACCTTGTGATTCATTTACCATAAACAAGTATCACGTGATATTTTTGCAACATCAGAAATGCAGCAATGGAGTATTTCTGTAAAGTTGATTGGTTGTAACAGTGCCGTGAATTATGACCGTTTGATAAATAAAACGTCCTGAAGTACGATTCTCATATTGGATGACAACATACTATTTGTAAGGTTTATATGATAACTTAAAGTGGAGTAAAATATTTCCGCAACATGGAGATATAGCTTGGACCTTACCGATTTATTAATGGAGATATGGAAAAAGTTATGCAATTCATCATCCAGTGAATTACAGGCTGTATATAATCTTTGCATTCTGCGAATTTATTCAACAATTTAACATCATGTTCGCACAATATAAATCCCCCTCCCAAATTTTTTATCAATGCTTCTTTTCCAATTTATGACACTTCTCATTTAGTTCCTAAGGCTCTGCTTTCGTTTCTATTTAAAATTGGCGCCGATTGTATACTCTAGCCCGGCCCGGAAGGAGAAAATCGATTTTTCTGGAGCGAATTTTTTGTGGGCGAGTTGACGAATCTAGGCCTATTAGACCATATTCAAAGTAATATTTTATGCTCATTTTGATGCATTTAAATAACGATTTTTTATTTAAAAAAAAAAGCTTTGAATTGGTACTATACATACATTAATTAAATTTCATTTAATTGTTTCGAGTTTTATCATAGGTTTATTGCAATAAATTCTTTGAAATGATCGCAATATTAGATATAAACAAACAAAAAAATGATAAAAAGTGATCAGTAATGATTTAAAAAATGTTTTCATGTTGTAAATCAGGAGAGTTCCGCCTCTGTTAAACAGTAGCACTCAATGTCATTTACGCGATAAAAGTGTGTGGGTGATGGAGAGGATGGAGGCAACAGAATCATTTGTGAAATAGGAAGTTGTTGTATAAAGCCAAAGGGAAACATCTTGCAGTGTAGCATCATTTGGAAAATTTGTCGTTGAGTTCATGAAAATGCCTCGACAGTAATGTCGTCATTTCTTTGGATATGACGTCAAAACTGATTTCAATATATAGGTAACATAGTTATATCCCCTTATAAATCAGTTATATCCAAAATAAGAAAGCAACATTTTGATTTTGAGTGCACGTGCATCGGCTCAAAAACGGCTTTTTGGTACTCAACTCAATGTCAACTGACAATACAGAAATGCATGCTTCAGTAATTATATAACTATCGATTGGAAGTTGACCTAGTTCTCCATGGAATACAACGTTAACTAATTTACCAATATCCAAAATGTGTTTACAAAACTTTAAATGTATTTGTTCAAAGAGAAATTTATAAAGCAGATTTAGTCATAAGTTTGATCATCTGCATCAGCTCTTTTCTTGGTCCAAATAAGCTTTTGATACAGATCTATGAACCAAATTTCGCATTGTAAGTTAATATTAGTTTAACTACCAAATTGAACAATTGCATTGGGCTTCCATACGGAAGGCTTCAATCTGTATCAATTACTGACACGATAAAAAGGAGATCATATACATTTTATCTTATCAGTGTTAACTGACAAGTTCCATTCTATGCAGTATGAGTATAGTTTTAAAGAGGACTGGAGTCCATCATTATTTCCAGGTACCTTTTCATTCAAATAACCATAAGTTTTCATTTTCTTTTATCTATTTTGAAGTTGCTCTCCTATGAAAATTCATTTTATTTATTCAGCTAATTGTGTTTTTTTTTCATTGCGTATTTAAGTATCAAGTGGACTTTGACCGTAAAGAACACAAAGAACTAGCAATGCTAAATTTTATTTTATTTTTAACATTCAACTCACCAATTCTACCATACAACATACTCGGAACTAACTTCAGTTTATTTAAAGGAATCGTTATCGTGGACTATTATGTAACGACTCCAGCCACAATGATCTTCATTTCGTCGACATGGATGGAAGAAAAGCACGAGTTGATGGCTCATTGGAAATCCTGACTGAATGGACATGTTGTGTCATTGCCGACAATCCAGAATAATGAGCATCGCGTTTTATCATTCGGTAAGCGTTTTTACCTATCTTCGAACATATTCATCTCTCAGAGCTCATGTAACAGCTTGTTGCATGTTATTCGTTCTATTTACATGGATAAAGAACTTCCTTTTACTCAGTAAATGCCTGGCCTCCACAAGTAAACCATTCGCTGCCTGAGCCTTTAATATTTGTTGTGCTGTTGAATTTGATGGACTCACGTAGTCTAGACGTTCTAAATGAAAGATACGACTATCATACTTAACAGTAGTTGTCCTTGGTTTCGCTTTTCCGACGGTGTGTGTGACCACGCCCAGAACAAGGCTCATAAGTCCGCTCACAGCACACATGAAGAAAGCAAAACTAAGCCTTGGATTCGTCATCATTTTCCTATTTGATATAAGTACATTTTCCTCAGTAAACATTACATACAAATTGCCCTCCCTGGAGAAATTCAACACAAACCAAGTTACTCCACAGCAAATACAGGTGGCTGAAACAAAACATGGCGTACATTACATTTTTATAGCTTCACTCTTGCTTGTACTATATGTTTATTAAAGATGAAACAATTAGAATCGTACACAATAGATTGACATGGTTTGATAAACAGAACATTTTGTCTAACTATTGTCTTCGTCAAAAAACACACGCATTCAGGAAATTTTACCTTAAGGTTGGTAAGTAGACATAGAATATGTTTTCAGATATCAAAATCAGTTAGAAAAAAGTGTGTGTGACATACGAATTACTACACTGGCACATCCATCGATCAAATGACCATTTATGTGAATTTGCAATCAGCAGTACAGTGTGTGAGGTGGTGATCAGATTAGTAGAACTTTCGGGCTGTAGAACAACCCGATGTACACTAGGATTCATAATGGTGATAAAAATGATATTGAATATATAAATAAACTCGTTTTCCTGGATGTAGGTATAGATCCCCTTAAGTCGGTTCAGCTTTGTTTTTAATCTATTGATATATAATACTTGTGTCTAACTGACCCGCTAGGGCGAACCAGTTTATGATATGATTTTGATGATTTTTAAGTCCCAATTTGCTGATCTTTGGCAGAGAATAATTTACGCTCTGATCTGATAAGTTTTTCTGGTATTCACTAAGTCAGACGTCAAATGTCTTTCTTCCTTTCTGATGTACTATACGTCTCACGTACCTCTGATTACGTTCACGCATTCCATGATTTTCTATTTAGGAACGTTAACCTTTAGATATACCAGGATACCTGTATTTCGGAATGTTCTGTGAGATTCCATGGCTGTTACAATGACATTGCCACGGTTTTATCACCTGAAAGGTCTCTGGTGATATTTTTATGTGGAACTAATTGCCCTTTTTATCTATTCTTTTCCGTTTTTTTATCTTTCTTTCCTTTCATCAAATTACCTTATTATCCCCCTTGTTTACATCATCAGAATGTATACATGTTTTCATGGTGCCAACTATATGATCCAGGTCTTGATTTTTGTTCCGTTGCTCTGTGATATTAAAGCTATATCTATTGAACAAAGTTCGTACACCACCAACCTCTAGTCTAAGGGGTAGTGAAATCAATGTCTTGTCACGCTTGAATTTTTACACAAGTACTAGATATTCCATGTGCTTATTGAATTTAAAATTATTTGCATGATGGAGTTTCTGCACCTCTCAGTCAGGCGTTTTTGACCAATTTTGTTTCACCTCTGGCGCCACCCTTGTCTCAAAACTTTAGGAATATGCATCACTTAAGAGTCATAGAAAGACAAAACAATTGAATGCTGCAGCTTCATTCACGGCTTTGCTATACTGTTATCCTCAACTGAAATGTGCTATTCTCTTGTGATTCGCAAGTTCAAAACTGCAGGTCAAAGAAGACATCTGGATACGCCATAACCGGGATGTTCTAAACAGGAACAGGTATCGGAAAATCGACTTAAAGAGAGGGAAATGTACGTGCTACCAGTTGATCTAAGTATGGGATTTAAGCAAATCGACCTGTTTGCTTGAAAATTTTGTTATTGTCTCGTCTATCAAAGTTCAACCTTTGATTTATAAATTACAGCCGAATAGATCTGATCCCACTGTACACTTAGGTGCACCAATGATTTACTAACAAGGCACTGTTTTCATATTCTTATGTATAAAACACTTTAAACAAAGGCCTGAAACGTGTCTGATAATCGTTTGCTCTGACATGAAAAATGAAAAATGATCAAAACGAAACTCAATTAATCTCCCACACGTGGGGATTTCACTTCTCTTTTTATAAATTATGTAGTGCTTTTTTTTTTTTTTTTTTTTTATCTTTTTACAAATTGATGTTACCACTCACCTGCAGTGAAGAGGAATCCGGACATGACGAGGAAGGTAACTTTTGTCCAGCCAGACCTCCAGGCTAGGATTGAACCGACAAAAATAGTGACCAATAATAAACCCGTTCCTACTAGATGCAGGGATACAACTCCCCCATAATCCGCTACAACAAAAACAATAAAACACGATAACAGTACAAATCTGTACCTACAATATTTACAAATTATTCTGCCTTTTCATCCTCCATTAATATTGAAGTGACTCTACCCGAAATGGGTCGGTTTTTTTTCAGAAAAAATAGCGACATTTGCTATTCAGTTGCTGAAATATTCACAATTTTGCTGTAACGAAACATATTTTTATATCGTAATGACATGTCCCTATTCCTCAATGCCTTTTAGCAGAGTAAGCTTAACTTGGAATATAGCAGGTGCTCCTAATATCAAATCAAATGTAACCATGTGGAATAGCATTCCATTTTCACTTTTTACTGACCAGGAGGATTTAAATCATGGAAGGATTTTGGAAAACCCAAATTAACATCTTCAGTTAGAGAAGGCAGGGGAGTTAAAATGGATCAATTACCTTGATATATCATTAAATATGCAATCGACTTAACTTTCTTACAGTTGGACATTCACTGTCAATTTAATCATCTTAACATTGTTGATAACCTACACAGAGCAACCGAATAGTTTTTGTTTATTTTGGAAAAAAAAACCTCATTCAGGTAAAAAGCATGGCCTGGATACCTGTGTATAGCATTGACTTAATGACTTGAAACGGTGTTGATCAAGGATATAAAACACCTGTCCTTGATAAGAATGCCATGATAAAGCTCGAAACATATCCGGGATATTACACGCGACGTTACCAAACCATGCGCAACATTGGCTAAACATACCTATGGCCAAACAATGTTCACATCACGTGACTCGGATATAATTACACATTATTTACTATCTCTATACTCTCTACACCTATCTGTAAACTACCTCTATTCTCTGTATGTCATGACTTAATTGATGTCGGGTTGCCCAGACGTCTGTTATAACTTAGTATACCAATGATGACGAAATGCTATTGGTGTGCCATGGTTGTATTTGAAAACTATTGCATGTTCTTTCAGAAACACGAAATATATACTAATGTAGAGGCATTTGGATATGGTAGTTAAAGGCTGAGTTATGGAATGTAGTATGTCTGTATATTATACGACTCGGCGTAGATAGAACCAACAGAAAAATTCACAGAAAATTTAAGCAGAATAATAGATAGAGAAAATTTAGTTCCAGCGACTGTTGTATTCAATGGAAATCATGCCATGTGGTGAAATAGCATAAGTATATAACTCCTGAACGTACAGACCAAGTACAATGAAACAAAAATACTTTGGTGGTGTTTAAGATAAGCTTATCCGTTAAATGTCTGGGATACGTACCGTTACCCATGTGGAAGATAAGAGGCAGGGAATCACAGGTGGGACCGACACAATAGGCAAAAAGTCCTCCATACTCTCCACCGGACTGCGATGTCACCCAGTTTGGAAGACACAACCCCGCTAGTTGTAGAATAAAATTGACACTGATTGCAATAATGATCTTATTTCCTACTGGACAGACCATTACTGGAATAGAAATCTACAACAACATGGAAAGACTATGTACAAACCACAGCAATAACACTAGCTTTGGTTTCTATGATCAATACACGAGGGTAGTTTAACTGACGGGTGTGTGTTTGGATAAATTTAAAGCATATGGCGAGGACAATGAATCCGTGATCATCTAAACATAAATTTGGCATGATCGTCCATCCCTCTGTAATAACACATATTGTATATCATGTTAGTCTATTCATCCACCGACAGACGATCACAAAGGGTCGCGTTTATCAGGATATTCAATACCTCGAAATTCTTCCGTCATAATTAACGCATAGAAATCCACAAGGCACTAGAATATTGCCGATACGGTGTATCAAATCTACCCAATGGAAAACACACTAGTTATTCATTATTTTGACAGCCGTCATGTGTTCTGTAGGAAGTCAAACGCTCATTTACAGGTATGCTTGGGGTAGTAAATTGGGCCCTAGTCATTATGCACAGCTGGTGTTAACGTTAGAGACAATGGAACACCGATATGTACATTTAAATAGTCTGCGGTTGTGTTGTATGTCAAAGCAATAAATTTTAAATTAATATCTCGGTATAAGGATTTGCTATCAGTTACTTTATAACGCTGATTAAATCTACAAATAAGATAACATTTACTGTTTACTGCATCACCTGTAAAAAAATAAGTATTACCTTCAAATAGTTGTATGTTAATTAATATCCCTTCAAATGACATTTGCCTTCATGCTTCGATGTCATAATAATATGGTAGTTTATTGATAACTTGTTTGTTAATTGATCAACGCTATACACAGAATCGGTAGTTGTTATATTCAATAGAAAATAAATGTCATACATATTTTAAAGTTATTTGTTTTTAAAGAAAAATCCGGTGAAAACTTGGGAGGATATTTTAACCAACAATTTCTTAATAAAATCTTCGAAAGAAATGTTTGTTATCTAGTCTGGTTATCGACTAGATGATAAAAACAATGTAACATTTTCTCGTCATTGATTTCAACGAAAATACTGTGTTTTCCATGAATTGTGAATATTCAGTTACATAAATTACATACCCACTTAAAAAGTTGTGAATATTCATACACGGGTTTCTCGATTGAGGGATTTGAAGCATATCGGGTCTAAAGTCCGTTTTTTTCTAGGTTAGTATGATGCTCAGAAGCGGTTTTGATATATATATATGTATATGTGTGTGCCTTTGTTGATATTTGTCATGGTTTTGGTGAATTTGAATCTGAATTCTGTTACGATCAGTTGATTGTTTTGTGAAGTACATTTACCCACTGATAGAATGGTGTTAAATGCTCATAATCCATTGGTTATTGTATTGTTTGAATGTCGACCTGAGTGCAACAGTACCTAAATTGCATTTTCGAGATACATGTATGTTAATTTGGACAATTACACCTGTCCTGGGAAAAGTAATTAGCGTGACCGATGTACGGTGATTTTGTCATGAAACAGCAGTAATATGATAAGGGGGAGGAATCATGGCCACCCGATATAGAGATACTGAATCATGGCCACCATATATATAGAGATACCGAATCATGGCCACCCTATATAGAGATACCGAATCATGGCCACCCTATATAGAGATAACGAATCAAGGCCATCCTATATAGAGATACCGAATCATAACCACTCTATATAGAGATACCGAATCATAACCACCCTATATAGAGATAACGAATCATGGCCACCCTATATAGAGATACCGAATCATGGCCACCCTATATAGAGATACCGAATCATGGCCACCCTTTATAGAGATACCGAATCATGGCCACCCTATATAGAGATAACGAATCATGGCCACCCTATATAGAGATACCGAATCATGGCCACCCTATATAGAGATAACGAATCATGGCCACCCTATATAGAGATAACGAATCATGGCCACCCTATATAGAGATACCGAATCATGACCACCCTATATAGAGATACCGAATCATGACCACCCTATAGAGAGATACCGAATCATAACCACCCTATATGGAGATACCGAATCATAACCATCCTATATAGAGATACCGAATCATGGCCACCCTATATGGAGATAACGAATCATGGCCACCTTATATAGAGATACCGAATCATGGCCACCCTATATAGAGATAACGAATCATGGCCACCCTATATAGAGATACCGAATCCTGGCCACACTATATAGAGATACCGAATCATGGCCACCCTATATAGAGAAACCGAATCATGGCCACCCTATATAGAGATAACGAATCATGGCCACCCTATATAGAGATACCGAATCCTGGCCACCCTATATAGAGATACCGAATCATGGCCACCCTATATAGAGATAACGGATCATGGCCACCCTATATAGAGATACCGAATCATGGCCACCCTATATAGAGATACCGAATCATGGCCACCCTCTATAGAGATACCGAATCATGGCCACCCTCTATAGAGATACCGAATCATGGCCACCCTATATAGAGATAACGAATCAATCATGGCCACCCTATATAGAGATAACGAATCATGGCCACCCTATATAGAGATACCGAATCATGGCCACCCTATATAGAGATAACGAATCATGGCCACCCTATATAGAGATACCGAATCATGGCCACCCTATATAGAGATAACGAATCATGGCCACCCTATATAGAGATAACGAATCATGGCCACCCTATATAGAGATAACGAATCATGACCACCCTATATAGAGATAACGAATCATGGCCACCCTATATAGAGATAACGAATCATGGCCACCCTATATAGAGATAACGAATCATGGCCACCCTATATAGAGATACCGAATCATGGCCACCCTATATAGAGATAACGAATCATGGCCACCCTATATAGAGATAACGAATCATGGCCACCCTATATAGAGATACCGAATCATCTTTTTTATTTGGGTATATTATTTTAAAACAGAAGACAAATTCGATGTTATTATCAATGACAGCTTGTTTACACAGAATGGCTATATATTAAGGTAAGTCAATTTTTATTAAGTTTGGTTACTTATGTAATTATTTCTTTCTTTATGTAAATGTTTCATGGTATAGAGTAGATATAGATTTTTTATTTCATCTATATTTCTATGTTATTTCCATCTATATGTATTCTTATGCAATCTTTATTTTTCTAATATTGAGAATGAAAATAATACGGTTGTAGATTTTATACATCACCATATTATAATCATATACACGTATCTTTAATGAATGGACAGTATCATAATGATAGTATTTGTGTAAGCACTCCGAGTAATATCTATTCAGTCATCCACAAGTCTCCTTTTAATACCTTTTTGTTTCCTTTTCAGTCAATCATTTTAAATCTCAGTGAAAAATATGTTACAAGTTTATTACTGCCATTTCCAAAATTCGAAGTGCTTAAAACAGTAACTAAAGATTCTGTTGACTTCAAGCATGATACATAGAATTGACTGTGTATTATATTATAGCAATGGTATACATGAGTCACTGTTATGTAGAGATCAATGATGACTTTTAAAGAAGGTATTATTTACTTATTATATCTATTCCAGAATTACCTTGGTACTTCAAATATCCCTGAATCATACGACTTCATTCATCATAAATCACTTTCATCTATAATTATCTCCACACAATAAATAAACAATTACAAATTTTTCTCTTCCAAATCAGTCTGACATCTATTTAATGAGATTTACACTAATATCGTATTCTATATGACGAATTGATTCAGATTGTGTCAGATATGTGAACTTATATCAAGAATCTCGAGAAACAAATCTAGACGGATATTCAGAAATAGCAATATCTAGAGTGAAGGAACTTTTCACACAGATGTGGTGGGCCATGGGCAATGACTGATTCCCGTGCATCTTTGATAAGGATGAGGCAACAAATTGGAATTTTGAAATTATCTTTTTCAAACAAGTTTGGTATTATATGTTAATTTGATGGCGTTTATCTAAGAAGTATCACAATGCCTACATATATATATACAGACTTTTTATACCAAGCTTTAGAGTGTATATATCAGATAATTGAACATGAATCTCCATATAACATAATCAAATACTGCCTGTTTGAGAGCAGGTAGAATCAACCTAAGAATCAAAATGTGTCACTTAGGATTAAACTGCTGCCAAATCACATGAAAAAGGACAAAACAATAATATAATAGAAATGGAATGGTAGAATCGTTGATTTGATGTTATATTATCACTCATACAGTGCTGGTAGCCTACGTTTTTAGAATAGGAAACCAAATAATTTTTGCTGTAAATACTGTTTTATATTTTCGACCACACGTGAGAAGAGTCTTTGACTCAATGTGTAATCGAATGAAAATAAAGTCTATTATTATTATTATTACTGACATGTTTCAAAATTTCGGCCTGTAACATCACTGACGAGTCATAAAGAGAGTTTAATTCATTATTGTGCTATTCTGTATCTAAATCTAAATATCTATTAAAAGGCACTATTACTTATGTGTCCTTTGTACAATCATCTTATATTCACCAGCATTAGGCAGGTTTCAAATTAAATAACTAACATCATATTTCTGCACATCTGTCCATGATAGGAGAAACCAATGAAAATGGATGATAAAAGAATGTTTAGCCTCCAGAAAAGGTGTTTGTCGATCTGTTGATTGTATCAGAATGCCCTTTCGCATCTCACGTGAGGAAACAAGATCCTGTAGTCTTTCACGTACTTTGGTTCCTTTAATAAAAAAAAACTTTTTTTGAAATTGCCAATCTGTCGCTTTCATTGTGATGAAAAGGGTATGTCCCTTTTATCGTTACATGTATACACATTAATATATGTAGTGCGGCTGACCACTTATTTGTCTATTTCTCTGCTTAGTAAGATTTCATTGCTGAATGATGTTTCAATTGGCGTTCGAGTACGTATATTTAACTGGTTTCAACCATCTTTTTCTTTTCCTATCCCTGCCAGTGTAGTCGTCATGGCTGCATCTCAAGTACAGATATCC